GGCGGTGCGGTGCGGAGCGCTCTGTCTCAGCAGCTCCCGTTCCCCTTTCCTCCGGGGTCTGCAAGTCTGCGGATCTGAGGGTCGCGGCATCGCACCTGCCGGCGAGGATCAGGAGGAGCAGGTGGAGGAGACTGCCAGGATAGGCCCAGGTCGGTGCGAGGGACCGTGAGGAGGCGGGGGCGGTGGCAGAGCCCAGCCTAAAAACCCTGTCACCCACTCCCCGCCCTGTCCTCCATTTTGGTGGCTGTATAGGCCTGGGGATGCAGCGGCAGGAAAAATGGTGGGCTTGGGGGTGTGGGGAGGGAGGACAGAGGAGTGTGAGCCCTCTAGAGGGCGCCTTAGTCGTTCAGGTGGGAAAAAGGAAAATTAAAAAAAAAAAAAAAAACCTTTGAATGGTGGCACAGTGCCTAAGGCATTTGACTGCTAACCAGAAAGTTGGCGGTTCAAACCCACCAGCCACTTCGTGGAAGGAAGACTGGGCAATCTACTTCCATAAAGATTTACCTCCTTGGAAACCCAGTGGGATTACTATGAGTCCGAACCTACTCCACTGCAGTGTTTGGTTTGAGTTTTGGTTTTGAATGGTGAAAGATGTGTAGTAGGGGCTCTGCCCTAGGTGCTGTTCTGTCCACGAAGCATTCAGTTCCTTCTCTTGCCTTTGTCTCCTAGGAGTAATGGAGTCCAAAGAAGAACAAGTGGGAAAAAATCTCAATGTGGAAAATGCCTTCCAGGAAAACAAAGGAAGGGAGCAGGCCCCTGGGAAGAATGAAGAGGAAGCCCACCCTTTGGGAGGGGATGAAGGCTGGGAGCCTGAAGGAAATGTCAGGCGTGGGTGGGTTAGGTCATTTGCCCCTAATTTTCGATTGGGCCTACCTAATATGCATGTTGATCACAGTGAAGTGGGAGATGATGTAGAACGGTTCACAGAAGAGATGATGGAAATCAGGAGAAAGATTAGGGAGCAGCAGATGCGTCATTATATGCGCTCCCACATTCCTGAACCTGACAATCACAATGATTTTTGCCTTATACCTTGAGTACTACGGTTTTCCCTGTGGTTAATAATATTGTTTCTGCTATACAACTTGTGTTGGTGTGATTTAGTTATGCTGTCAATCTTTCATTGTTTTCACTTAACCAGTTTCTAATTGAATATTGTTTTGGGTCAGTCTAAAAATTTCTGCTAGCAGGGCAATTTCACCAATTTTTGGAAAAAAAGAAAAATTTCAAACTGAAATAAAGCAGTTTAAAAGGCAATCTGTGTTGTAAATTTGCATCCAAGTCATAATAAAAAATGTGTTTAAAAGGCAATCTATATTCTGTCATATTTCTCTTCCATTCTAGTCCTTATCCCTGTTATTTAGACTTAAAATCTCAGTTGTCTTGACTCTTATTTTCCACATAGCTCCAACTAACCAGTAAGGAACATTTGACCCATAATTCTACATCTGATCATCGTTTTAAGAGTGTATTTCCTAGTGTGTGTAAAGAATGCTCATCCAACATCAGCACAAAATATAAAAAAGTAGAACAAGAATGAATGTCTAAATTCAGTGGGTAAAACATTAAAAAAAAGGAAAAACGTAAGAGCTTAAAATAAACACCATATGAGTTGTAGGGATAGTGACAAACTGGAGGGTGTACAGTGTGCAAGACAAAGTGTGCCTGAAGGCTATATAGCCAGAGGAACCTGAAGTTCCACTGGGTTAGAGATGTGGACTACACCCTGCTGTGGATCTGAGGAGGGATGAGGCCTACCCCATTTTCTATGGGACTTGGTCATTTACAGATGCAGAATACCTGACTTTTATAACTTGATAAACTGAGGAAGGTCAAGGAGAAACTCCTGCAAGATTGAGGCTGTGGATGAATTAGTTTTTCTGTATTTCCAGTCCAAGCACTTAAATTTTTAGAACATTAGAGCAGAAAAAAAGTCTTAAAGACCCTCCAATCTAGTGTTCTTCAAAGTTCTGGTCACCACCCGTTACGTTTGTGAAATTAATTTTATGGGTCAAAACCAATTAAAACAGCAAAAACATGCTAAGAGTCCATCACCCATGAGTAGTGTTAATATTTTTGAGAAACAAGTTTTAAAAATAACAAGTATGGTTTCCTTAGAAAATACATTTCTCACTGTAGGTCACAGTAAAAAATTTGAAAGTCTTATCTTTAGTTTCAACTT